GTAAAGATTGTGAGATTAGCTGACACATCATCGTTATCAGGTCGGGGTCTACATTATATTACTTCTATGTTTAACAAGTAAATTTTATGTTAAAAATGTCTAGGGGATGGTTTAACAGCGGCCGGAAACTGCAATACCGAAATACGAAGGCTTTTTTTTGAATAGGGAATATTATCTTTCTGTAAAATTACCTTTCTATAATGTCACGTGATTGTTGTAGCCATAGAACTCGGTATTAAGTAAATCTTGCTCAACAGTTCCGTGTAAACTATCCAGTGAGGGACGAACTCGCTACACTCTTAACGATCTTTAAAACTCGCTAACTGAATACTAGAAATCATCAAAGGTTCTATGTCAGCCATGACATATTTGATAAGAATAGTAGATTAGCTGACTCATCATCGTTATCGGGTAGAGTCTACATTAGATTTCTTCTATGTTCAACAGGTAATTTTATGTTTAAAATGTGTAGGAGTTGGTTTAACAGCAATACCGAAATACGATGGCGTGACCGAATAGGGAATACTACTTTTCTATAATATTACCTTTCGATAAAATCACGTGATAGTTTCAGCCGTAGACCTCGGTATTAAATAAATCTTGCGCAACGGCTACGTGTAAACCATCCAGTGAGGGACGAACTCGCTAAGTGGATACTAGAAATTCACCAAAGGTTCTATGTCAACCATGACATATTTGATAAGGATAGTACAATAGCCGATAATCTATACTAGGAGCAAACCGCATGCAAAATAGAAAGAAATATAAGACAAAGCTATGTGGGTGTTACTACACTTTCGCTCCCACCCACGTAGCGTCCTGTCATTCAGCAATGGTTTACCCCAGGTACGACAGTCTGGAAACAGTTCTGTTTTTGTTTTTTTTTATTGTTAATTATAATATTTATATTTAAATATAAATATCGAAAAACGAAATCAATATTTGTAAAACTCTAACCCTAATCAACGTGGGTAGCGAAAGTGTAATGGCGCCGAGGTATCTTCTCACCGGCCGTATTAAACCTATGCAGTGAGTCGATTCTATAAGAATTAGAAGTCCTACCAGAATTCATTATCTTAACAATATAAAATATATAAATGATACTGTTTTAATAGTCGACACCGAAAGGAAACTACAAGAACACCTACAGAAGATAGTCAAAGAAAGTGCAAAGTAGATATAATCTATGGTTGTCAGTGAAAGGAATAGCCAAACATGGAAATAAGAAAATGAAGTTATCAAAATGAAACAACTGTAACAATTTAAATATCTGGGAATTATTTTGAAAGAGGACAAAGGAGGATGAGACACCGCAATCCGAAGGCGCATTGGGATACTGAAAGACGCAAAGTATTAAGAATCAGGAATGTTTTGTTAGAAACAAAGAAAAAGGCACTGGACAGTTACGTAATATCGATATTTCTATATGCCAGTGAATGTTGGACAATATCCTCATAGATGAAGAAGAGAGCATAAATGTTGTTCTACAGAAGGATGCTGGGAATGCCAACCCTCAACACGTAAGCCACGGCGAAGTTTAAGAGAAAATAAAAATAAAAAAAAACACTTCTACTTAAAATCAGAAATATACAACTGAAAGTTCTAGGGCATATGACGAGGAAAGATGGCATGGAAAATTTGACACTCAAATGACATATTGAAGTCAAGCTGGTCAGAGGAGAGCAGCGAATAACTTGCCTGACGATCTCGTGTAAATAGCTGGCAGAACAGTTATAGCAGGTATAACAAAAAGATAAATCTTATACAGTGCTACAAAAGATAGGAAGTAGTGGAGAACCATGATCGGTCGCGTTCTTGACGAGCTATGACACTTATTAGAAGAAAGTATTTGTTATAGCTTGATCTAAATCAAGAATAATATGGTAACAATTGAAGATCAAACTTATTGCATTTATAATATTATTTGCTGAACAAGTTAGGTTTTATTCATTTTAGTCTAGTAATCTAGGACGCAACAAAATGAGTGATGACTAAAGAACAAATGGTCCTTCCTCCTTCCAAAGCGTATCATGGATGGCATAATCATTCTGGTCCTGTGTAAGGTCAATGCCGATGAATTGCTGCTGCGTTACCATAAGCTTATCACGTGGGCGAGAATGAAGCCTAAGCCCAAGAAAAGCTAGAGCTTATCATTGCTAAGAGGCTCTGTCAGGGATATTCACTTCTGAATTAGGCGGGGCATGAGCCCGACAGTTAGTGAGAAGCCAGTTAGGAGCCTCGAACGGCTGTATGAAATTCCACTAACTGATCAGCACCGAGGTAAAGTGGTGCAGAAAGTGGCACTAGCTGGACTTGAATCCATCGAGAAAACACATCTCTCCGGTAAATTGAAGGTATGGTGCTACCAATATGTTTTGCTGCCCTGGCTTCTGTGGACGTTGCAGGTGTATGATATTACCCTGTCACGCATTCAGCAGACGCACCAGTGTATGAACAAGTACCTGAGTATGGGGTTAGGAGTTCATACCTGGCGGGACTCTATACCAGTGTCTGAAACCTGCAACTTTCCATCGTCTCATTGGTGGAGAAGTTCAATATCGGGAAGGTATGCCTTCACATGACGAGTTCGTCCGCAGGCCAGATGACCAGACTGCCAGATATCAAAAACTAGCACGAAATGGTCAGCAGTAGAAGCCAACAATAGCAGAATCCAGCCTGCAAACTAAGGAGATTTGGGGGATGACCCAAACCAATCGAGGTGACCTGGGCAGCACGTGCAACTAGTTTTTCTTCAAACAGTTCAAAGGGTAAGAGAGACATGGTGATCAATGGTGAAAATTCGAGTAGGAGCAACAAAGAGCTACTCCTGTCAGCCCATAAAATATGCTTGGACGGCATGGAGTGATATTGATCCAAAGAAGCTATCATGGAATATCCTGATTGCAATGGAGCCATTGGCAATATCATTCCTCTTGCAATCTACCTATGATCTCCTACTAAATGCGATCAACTTCAATCTGTGGAGGTAGACTGACATTGATATATGCGCATTATGTCAAAGTGATCGAGGCACTTTACGTCACGTACTCTCTACATACCCACAATAAGTTCAGCTGTTCACGTGGCGTCATAAAATACAGGAAGTGGTCATAGACTTAGTACATAGTATGAAGCAGCCATCATACAGCCTGTAACACAGAGAACCAATGATCCCTATTCCATAGTCCCAAATAACTCCCAGCATGACGCTACTGAGTCGGACCCGCGGTTGGTAGGTGTTAGTTGATCTTAGCACACCTCTTCAATTACCGGTACACATAATTAGGACAGATGCACACTCTGACATTGTAGCGTGGTCTGATTCAAAGAAGTGTGTACTCTTAGTTGAATTAACCGTGCTCTGGGAGGTGAACAGGGAAGAGGTGCAAGAGCGAAAGAAAAACCGCTGCGAATCGCTACGGTCCGACTGCGCAGTAAGGGGATAGACATGTCATACCTATTGAGGTCGGTCGCCTTGGATTCCTTGAATGGTCAATTCTTTCATTCCTTTTGAAGGTGGGCATCAATGGCAGCCCACATCTCAACGGGCTTCGCGTTGGATCTGGTCAAGTTAAATAAAACCATGCTCTTAACACAATGCTGATTACGACCTGAAACATAATATGTTTACCTTACATTCTACGTCATAATTAACGGTCGCTACGAAAACGTTGTGTATTTTAAAGTTGGAAATTTAAGTTGCAGCTGTAAAAAGAAATCGCAAGAGACTGACACAAAAAACAATACCCTGTCCAGTGGTAAAAGCAGCAGCTTGCGCCGGGGTTAGCAGCGCAGGCTTAGCCACCAAAACTGTGTTACGTACCCTGGTTGGCTGCTGACTATGGCAGCTTATCTCACGTGATTCCCCACGTTTTATGTAGAGAAGAAAATGTGTGTTTATTTAAAATAAAAGAATAATTTCCGATGATAGAAATTCCTACACAGTGAGTCGGTTCTTTATCATAGTTTTCGACAGCCGTCCATGTTAAAGCAGTTCGTATAGAGCCTTACGTTTTTAATCTGGAGATAAAAGATATTCTGTTGAGTTCGAACTGAAAATCTATCAACAGTTTCTACACCCACGACAGACAACTGTGATAATTTAGTTTTACAATGATGTACAGGGCACAAGAACCACTAGAAGTAAAAGGTTACAGAGTACGAGGCACAATTTATGCGGACTTGTGTGGGAGAGAACTGTTATCACTAGACTTGAACGATTTAAGATTGCAATGTTCGGGGAAGCAACCTTTTAGAATCGGTTCCACAAATCAGCGGTTCGTGGGAAGAAATTGCTTGAGTTAAACAAAAGTGGAATACGAATAAAATGAATATGGTTCACTAAAATGTGCCTGTCATGGCGGGGCCTAGTCGTGAAGGTTAGAACGAGTGGGCCTAAGGAATGTAGTTCGTCTGAACACATTCAACGGAAATGGTGACAGAGCAGCGAGAGGCTTGTGACGTTACGTCCGTGATAAAGGAGCCGTCAGGTGAAAAAGAAATTGTCGCCTGCAAGACGCTTAGCACGTTGTATATCATTAAATAGAAAAAAAAATGACAAATGGAGACGCCTGCGAACAATTGTTGACAAGAGTTTGTTTATTTTGAATATGTTTTTCGGCACACTGGCTACATAAAGGTTTGTTTCTTGAAGCGACAGGCAAAATCTAAACAAAAACAAACTATCTTTCCGCTTTACTTGAAAACGATAAAACTGTTTCTAAATCTGGAATCACCGAATGAAAATAGCTGGCGCATAATTTACAATTTTCCCGCCCATAAATCGCTTTCAGTGGACAACAAAGACTGAGGTCTTTTCGCAAAACTTTTCTTTCTTAGGGGGCGGTGGTACTGGATGCATTAAATACTGTCTTGCATAATAGTAAAGGACAAACACTCGGCGCAATGGCGGTTCAATATATTAAACGCGTCTGGAAATTTGAAGAATTGTCCTTTGATATGTGATGACAGGAACCAAAAGTGACGTTGGGTGTAATTTATTAAAAGTAAAAATGATGGAAGGTAATATTTATGTTTAGTCCAGACGTATCATAGATAGATAGATAGATAGACAGAGAGAGTGAGAGAGAGAGAGAGAGAGAGAGAGAGAGAGAGAGATGACAGGGAAAAGATGGCCGAGAACTGGAGAGAGGGTGAAAAAGGAGAAATAAAAGCTGCAGTATAGGGAGTTGGGGAAAGCGGGGCGAAAGAGAAGGTATTGGGTGATAGACGAGCAGAGATATCAGAAGGGAGAATGTGGGGAGAATGATATAGAAGACTATGAACAGGGAGTGAGGATATGTCGTCAGAGAAGAAATGGAGGGAGGAGGTGTCAGAAAGAGAGCGAGAGGACGAACGAGATGTATAGCTTGCGGAAGGGAGGGAAAAAGAAAGATGGGTTTAAGGGGAAGAAGAACGGCGTCAGGTGAAAGGAGGAAAAGAGGAAGACAAGAGAGAAGGGGCGAAAGAAGAAGGGGAGGAATAGAAATAAGAATATACAGTGAGAGCGTGATTAAGGGGGAGAAGTGAGAGTCAGAGAGAGAGGAAGAGAGGAGGAGACAAAAGGAGGATAAGGGCACGAGAAAAGGAGAAAGTGAGGGAGATAGACTAAAAAGGTTCAGGTTGTTGTTTTTCTACATTGACAAGCGATAGGAACCTCATTATTAAAATAATTTATCTTAGATACAAGATGGACAATATAGAATTCAAATCTTTGTCGACACGCGGGTAATTGTACCTAATTATATTCTACAACGCTCTCGGTCCTAAAAAAGTGGTCCTCAAACAAAATCTCCATTTTATACTGATCTAAAGAGGTATGATTGCGTTTAATATCATGTTATTTTTACCCACTTCATCGCGTGTATATATATATATATATATATATATATATATATATATATATATATATATATATATATATATAATTATTTATTTAAACATATGATTCCAAAACGCTACATAAGAAGTCTCATGTTTCAAAACAAGAGCCGAAAACTTCAATATAATTATTTAAATTAAATTGAGTTAAAATAAGCTCTGTTCCATCTTCAAGCGAAATTTTTTTTTGAATAACGTATATCTGAAATTTACGTGTTTTAAAATTTGAAATCAAAATTTCCATGATAACAGCTAGGGCAAATTGTTTAAGTTGGGTAGGCGGGTGTTGGGTGTTAATAATAAGTATCAGTATAGAGTTACTTTCGTAGATCTCAAGTCAGGGAAAGGTAAGGGTGTCTAAATTTTAAACGGAAGATGTATTAACCCTCGTCTAGTTTGCATGTCTATGGAGATTTATTTATTTATTTTATTTTATTTTTTTATGAAAGGGATTTGTGCATATAAAAAACTGTCGTAACGTTTGTTTTTTGACGACTTCATAAAGGGTTACCTTTTTTGTAGGGTATTTAAACTATTTATTTGGGCTATGGATTATGAAGGGTGTTATATTGTATGCATGTTTTTAGTTAATTATTCAAACCATGAATCTGATGATTGGGCTATGGATTAAACAAGTTTTTATATTTTATGCTTTTTTTTGAGCTAATGATTCAAACCAAAAATCTGATGATGTCTACAAAAAACCGTTAACTCGTGTCTATTATTTAATAGATTATTATTATTTAGAAGCTTAATAATATATATATATATATATATATATATATATATATATATATATATATATATGTATCGAGAGCTTTAACCATGAAATTTATGCATCTAAATTTTGTGATGAATAATAAGTCTCCTTGCAAGTTCCATGACTATAAAATACGAGAGTAAATTCACCTATTGGATCGTTAGAACCGAACCCCTTTAACAAAATATTGCAATAACAATCATAATATCGTACAAAAAAGTCGGTACAAAAGTAAACATTAAAAAATTAATAAAATTTTCCATTTCATTATTCAAAGAATGATCTTTACCAAAACACTCAGATTTCACTAGATCAAAAACTTTGTTAGCTTTTTAACTATTACTGTTAGTGATTTTCCAAGCGTCGCCTAGATGTAGTACATGGTCTAAATTAAGGGGCACCCAGTGAGGATCGAACTCACTACTCAGTCGTGATTGTTCTAGCAAGCTAAGCTTGTTAACCATTACACCACCTCCGGGTGCCCATTAACTATTGTTATTAGAATGCAGTTTGTACACAGCTGAGAGCTTAGATAATTCTAAACGGAGTTGGCGCCTTGCATATCATTCATATGGAAGTCTATCACGAGGCTATTGAAGAATACGTCACGAGTTTTTCGGTCATTTTTTTTTGTTTTGTCGCAAATTGTATTGTTTTAATCTACCCGCAGTATAATTTCTTTATCTCTTATTTATTTATGAGGTTATGGGAGGGTTTAGTGTTTACTAATATCCGATCCATAATATTAATAATGGATTAAGTGTAATTACCATTATTTTTTTTTATTTGCAAATCCAGATATTATTTTCTGTTTTAGAAAGGTTTATCTTGAGTCCCGTTTGTTGGAAGACATTTTTTTTTTTTTTTTTTTTTTTTTGTAGGATCCCTCTTTTCCCGGTCTCGATCCGATGAAGCCATTTTCAGGCTTATGTTTCGGTTTTAGTAGCAAATTGCTGTGTTTGACGAAACTACCTCTGGTGTACCCTATTCTATGTTCAATTTCATTTTCTCCTATACTAAATTTGTTTCTGTCTATATTTATGTGTTGTAAAATTGTAATTATCTACATTATTAACATTGTTCGGGCTGTTGTCTTCATCATTATTTCCATATTCACGACGTTTCGGCTCCAGGCTTTCTTCTGGTGATTGGAATTTCGAACTGAACCCTTTATTTCGTCCACCGACGTAGATTGTTCTTGTTCTACTTGCCAAGCCTCTTCCGAATGTATCAGTTATCTCCCTTTAAGTCAACGTTCCATGATTTTGGACACCACTGCAGTAGCCAGATATTGAACTCGCAATTATTTACGGAGACATTAAGTTTATAAGGACAAATGGCCCACTGGATAAAAGCGTTGGTTAGATCTATTGAATTGACCAAAAAAAAAAAAGCATGGAGAATTGAGTTAAAGAAAGATAGATGAGACATCCGAAAGAGGCACGGCACGGAAACTAGACAATCTCCCACGGTGAACGAAAGAACTGTTTCAGTTCAAAATTCTAATCACTTGAAGAAGGCCGGAGCGTACAACGGCTGAAAGGTGGTGAATATAACAATAAAGATGAGGACAACTGTCCGAACAATGTAAATAATTAATTTTGTTAGAAGTTATTCATAAGGTCTGAAGTGTTTAGTACTTACTAACTCTGAATAATGAAATTCTTATGATGCATTTAGTGTAGGTGCCATTACTGCTTTCATTCTAATTTTACATCATTGTTTCATAATAGTAATATTATCCGTTTCCTTATAAGGAAATATTTGTTTTTTCTTGACAGAGCAGACAATGTTACAAAATAAGTTTCTGAAATCCGGTAGCTTATATATATATATATATATATATATATATATACCAATCAATAAACAATAAAACAAAATAAACTATTGCAGACGACAGCAAACCATTGATGACAAAAACTGTCAATGGTAATTTATTTAATAAAGGATTCATCCTCGGGAATGACCTTCTAAACATTTGCAAAAAAGAACGTGATGATGCTGAGAAAGCGTCTTTTAATGTTGTAGATGACGGTGAAACTTTGGGTAGTTTTAAACCTCGCCAAGGAAGATACATTCCTGGTGTATCGCTAAAGTTGAAGTCGCTTTTCTAAAAATTTGTTAGACGCCATAGTGCCCCAAAAGCTTCTTCTGCGGCCTTGTAGATGTCAAATTGTCCAATCTGCCACTACATTTTCATAGACAAGATGTCGCAAGCCTTTCGCTGTTCCATCAATGTTTCTATGGGGACCCTTCGGATGAATTACATTCCTTAGTTCCACCAGTCCTAACCTTCACACCTAAGACCGGCCATGCCACGTACATTGTAGCGTACCACCTTTATTACCTTCATATTCTCCTAGTGAAATGTAAGTTCTACTCATGTAATTTCTTCACGAATCACTGTCGAAAGTTTGCTTCACCAATCACAATATTTTCCTGTTGAAGCTCAGGATTAACAGTTATCTTCCACACTTATCCGTACAAGTTGTGCCTCTTACTCTGTAACCCAGTACCTTGAGTGACCCCGGATCTTGAACACTATATATATATATATATATTTATGAGTAAAAATGAAAATAGGAAAACTGGTAATTGCTGACGCGTTTCGTTCAATGTGGACTTTATCAAAGCAAAATACGAAAATGAAATTAAATGAACAAAGTAACTAATAAAAACAAAAACCAGAATGTACCTAGCAACTGGAATGTAGAGAAAGCTATTTACCATATTTTTAACTGAAAAATAACGTCAGAGATTGTCACGTGTGGAGAATATTGTCATTATATCTGTGTTGATGTATTCAACCATTTTCTTTTCGTAAAAGTTTCATTAAAAAGACTGACGAGTTACGTTAACTTTTTTTTATCTTATTTTTTTAATTTTTTTTTTTTATATGTTCTTATAATTGTCTTGGTTTCTGGACGAAAATTCTGCCGAAATTTCCCAATTGTTTGTATGTCCGAGCGGGTAAACTTTTAGCCATTATCACGGATAAATTTCATTTTTACTATTTTTAATATTGATTGTTTTATGTATTTATTATAGGATAGTTTATTTTCCAATAACGGTCAGCACATCGTGGCCCTGTTAATAGTTGATATCATTATTGAGTTTTGGCTTTTTCTTTTGTTATTAATAATGCGTTTATTATTTTAAACCCTTTTTCATGTGTGTACATATTTGTATTTTCAACAGAGTTTTATATATATATATATATATATATATATATATATATATATATATATATATATATATATATATATATATGCATATATATATATATATGCTTTTTTGAGACTTTGATATAGCTAACTTCAATCAATTTATCCCACGCTTGGAAGAAATTATTAAATGTTATATGTCGTAATTTTTCAACAGAAATGTCAACATGCTTTTAAAGATCTCTTTGTTTAAGAAAAATGAATTTTCAGCATTTCATTAAATATTAAAATGTTGGAGAAAAACGCTAATATGTTCACACAACTAAAGAAAAGATGGTAAAATTGGTTGGCACCTCAAAGCAGGTGCATGCTTCTTTCTTAGAGGATTCTCAACTTATGACATATTCGACTTTGTCAAATATATGCGCTGACGCGTAAGATGGAGGTTAGCATCTGAGAGAGAATAAGCCTGTCTCGTAATTTTTATATAATAAAGCATAAATTTCTCCAATTTGAGCGTAGCTTAGATGTGGCACAAGGCTGATATAATGGATCAAACTCACTCGTAATTGTTCTAGCGAAACATGCTTGCTAACCATTAGACCACGTCGAGGTACCCTTTATGATTTTCTAAGCTACGCTTAGATGTGGCACAAGACTGAAAGTATGGAGCACCCAGCGAGGGTGCCTATTTAGTCAAAATTAATTACACAACGTCGATGTGCCCTCATTTATATATATATATATATATATATATATATATATATATATATATATATATATATATATTATTCTATGGTAATTATCGAACGTATTCACGATGATCTTCGCCCTCACTAATCTTCTATGTCCTGAAATAACAAGTTGCGCCACATGTTTCACGTGTAATTTAATTTTTAAGTCAGTTTTCACTGCTCTTTGGACTGTCATTGCTGAAATTCCTCTTTCATGGATTGAGTTGGATCTTTTCTAAATTATCTCTTTAGCTCTAAGTTGAAATCATGATCCCTCTCCTTGTTGGGACTTCTTGATCCAGATTTCCTCTCTATTGTTCTCTCTTTTTTAAACTTATTCAACGTAGAAAGTAAAGAGGTCAATTTCGGTATGTGTAGTTAAAAAGGCATGGGGGATATTATGGAGGTTAAACATTGTCAGTGTTTGTGTGCATTTTAAGTTTGATCGTGTTCACATAATATAAAATTTAAAGAAAGAAGCATTAAAAATCAACGACCGTTTGGTTCCCTTTTATGGAGATTTTAGTTAAACAAAGTTCTTAATGCCTCATGCGTATATCCAGTTTTGTTTTGGTCCATGAGTTAAGCTATATAACTACAAATATCATATTAATGGTCGATCTCGAGTCAACCTTGCACGGAGTTGGAACAACCAAAGCCACGTTAGTGTTTTATCGTTGAATGGTTATGTTTATGTAATGTCTGTTTCTTTTTCTTGGTTCAGGGCAAGTAAGTACAAGAAATGTTACAATGGTTGCGTTCAAATCAACCTTGCGCTCTGTTGGAACAACCAAAGAAAAACCTTGACTTACTTCATAGGTGCAGGTTTTTAGAAGACATAGGCTGGCGCCATGCATTGGGAAGTGGTTAGAGAGTCAGCGGAAATGTATTTATCACGTTGTCCTACATCTTGGAGCATCTTAATGTCTTTTGGGTATACCAGTTTTCATTTTGGTCGAGGATTTAGGGTAAGTAACTATAAGTACTGTATTAATGTTCCAGCTCTAGTCAGCCTTACGCAAAGACAGGAAAATCATCCCTAACATCTTTGTTTGAGAATTCATACGTGTTAGAGGTGGTTCTACTCGGTCAAGAGTCGACTTTCACCATAAATGCTTGTATACAATGTATAGTCCATTCCTGAATTTTTCCCAAACGTATCCAGGTATGTCGTGAATTTGAGCGGCTTTGATATAATCTAATTACAAACCTCAGGATCTATTCATCTATCACTAAGAATACAATTGCTATTGATGTGGTCTAAAAGAGAAAAGATAGGATGGAATTGCATTACATCATCATCATCATCTTGCGGCCTCAGCCGAGATTGAAATCACTACACCTCTCCAGTATTCCTTATCCGTCATAGCACCTAAAAGATCTTCCTTAGGGATCAATGTGTCTCGTTTTATCCTATCTGGAAAGGTTAACTTGAGTGATCGATTGACAGATGATGATTACATAAAGCATCAAATATTGTAACAAACATCATAAACTAATCAGATAGACTGATGTTTACATAGCGGTTATGCAAATCTGTCTGTTGTTAATAATTTCACCCCAAGCAAGGCGACAATGCCACTAGGACGCAAGGGTTTACAGGGGGTGAAAGAGAAGGAGAAAGACAACAAACTTCCGCTACCATAACATGTTGAACATGGGCTCTTTTATTAACTATGACAGTAGTATCAAACCGAACAAAAGAGAGTCGCACATTAGTCGCAAAGAGTGTTGTACTAACCGTGATATTTGCTAGTATTGTAATATTAATTCACTTGATCAAACAGTTCTTTCACCAAACTTGTGTTCCATTGTTTTGTTTTTTTTCGGAATATTAGTTCATACAAGCATTATAACAAAATAGTTAGAAATGAGGAAAGCACAATAAAGGAAAATGATTCAAGAAGACAGAAAATGAATCTTGACGTTGTATTTAAAGTTTTGAAGATAATAGGCGGAGAGGGAAGCAAGAATTCGGAAGGAATTTCTACGGGTGAGATGTGCGAGAAAAGAAACAGAATGGAAGTGAAGGTTGAATTTAACTATTAGGCTGGTGCAAAAATAATGACGTAACAATGTCGTTTTGTGACGTATTTTTAAGGTCAAAAAACGACATTATTACGTCATTATTTCTGCACCAACCTAATATTTCAAAAGTAAAACGGTGAGACCTAGTTGCCAATCTAGCAGCACGTTTAAATTCCCGTAGCCGAGACACTAAGGAAAAAAAAATCTCATTTAAAAAGTTGCCATGAAAATATTTGTAGAAAAGGAAGTCAAGAAGCTTTGTCACGTCGGTGAGAAAGTGACTGCAGTCGAGATGTAACGTCAGGATCGATTATATAGCCTTCTTTGAATGATGTGTGTTTGTGTATGTGTGTGTGTAACTTGATTATATCTATGTATAAAGTGACAAATTAAAACAGGTATCCTTGTCACTTACAGTATTTGCATCTCAAAGTGTCATGCAATAAGCAATTATTAGGCATATATTTTATATAAAAATGGATAAAAATTAACCTTTTGAAGATGTATGATAGTTTAGCGCTGTTGTTTTACATTGAGTAAAAGAGAAGGGAAGTAGCGGTTGCATCTAGTTAGTTCAGTGATAAAATGGTGGAACCTTGGTGCCAATCTCGTAGAACGCTTACGTTCATGTAGTCAGGGCACCAGCGGGAAAAAAAAACCTCATTGGAACAGTTGCCATGAAAATATTTGAACAAAAAACAAAGGGAAGAAAGGGACTGCAATTGAGATCAAGACTAATTACATTACAGATCGTTCTTTGAATTTTCGTGAGAATCACGTGATATAGAGAAGACGAACCAGGACTGAAACAGCAGCAGTATTCAACGAATGTGACGAATGGTAGATTTATAAGTGTGCAAGCTGGTATCTGACGACAAAAATTGTCTGAAAAAACACAGTGAAGCAACTTTCATGTTGGTTGATTTATTTGTTTAATGGCATATCGATTCCTTGTGGGTCATTTAATGCCGAAATTTATTTTTCTTAGGAGATTTGAAGTAATAAAAAATGTTATTCTTCTTTCACAATTGATCATATAGTAGATGATACTCAGCTTTTGTGCATTTACCAGTTTATATTGATATGATTACTACAAGCAGTGATATGAGTATTTTATGTTTTTTAAAGTTTTATTTTGGAATATAATTTGA